CTATGTCTACTGTATGCTAAACAACATCTATATAAGTCATATAGGAGGCATTTTGGAGACACACAGTGTAGTCTGATGGAGTAAAAAATGAGCTATTTGGCACCACACACACACATTTTCTAAGCCGCTTATCTTCTGGGTCGCTAGAGCCTATCCCAGCAGTCACTGGGCGGAAGGCAGGATAGACATATACATTTAAACACACATTCACACCTCAGGGCAGTTTAGCCTGTCCAATTGGCCTGGCTGCATGTCTTCGGGCTGTGGGAGGAAACCGAAGTACTCATGCAGGAAACCCACGCAGACTCCACACTGAAAGGACCCTGGTCACCCAGCCAGGGAATTGAACCCAGGCCCTTCTTGCTGTGAGGCAACACCGCTACCCACCGCACCACCAAGCTGCATATGAATAAATATCAGTAAAGATGACTCAGGCAGTCAGGAAAATGAAGCTGAAAAAATGCTGGCAGCATCACATTTTTCAAAAACAATAATCATTAATAATCATTATCCCACAATATCTGTGATCTTTCTAGTTGTATGCAGAAATTCTGCCGTTTACCTTTTACTGCTTTCTGTGTGCACAGGTGGTCCAGATCCTTGGGGACAAATTTCCCTACAAACTTGTTTCCGAGAAGATTGACTGTGAGTATGGACTCCATTTGCCATATATAGGGTCTTCTGTCACTGTGTTGTTCTTGACTGAATGATTTCATTTCCAGTGCCTGAATACCAAGGAGAACCAGATGAGATTTCCATACAGAAGTGTCAGGAGGCAGCACGACAGGTTTGACCTCTACAGTAGATTTCAATATTCTCTCTGCATTAAAATGCATTTCGAGCTTTTGTGTGTTTCCCTGTAAAGGTAGATGGCCCAGTGATTGTGGAGGATACATGCCTGTGTTTCAGGGCACTGGGTGGGCTGCCAGGGCCGTACATGTAAGTGAAAATGTGTTCTATACGTACCACAATTAGAATGCAGTTATTGATTTGTTGAAAACGGACCACATCCTTCACACAAGGATGATTTTATTGTGTTCCCTTAGTAAATGGTTTTTGGATAAGCTGAAGCCTGAAGGTAAAAACTTTTATTTGCATATTAATTATTAATACTTGAACAATTGATACTTGTTCAGATGACAATTGAAATCTATAGGAAATTACATTTTATTTGCTCTATGTTTTTTTTTTCTTTTGTCAGGCTTGTATAAGCTTCTAGCAGGTTTTGAGGATAAATCTGCTTGGGCTCTATGCACGTTTGCTTTTTGTGCTGGCAAACAAGAGCCAGTTCAGCTCTTCAGAGGAATAACTGAGGTTAGCACATATTCTAAATACACAGCATAATATATTTTTAATACTGTTGTAGTGCACAAACATGCAGCACACGTCATATGTCAAATTGCTTTAGCATGCAACATTAAGTAGCACATAAACCAGCCTTTATACAGCATGTGAAACTACATGATTCACAAATATACAGACTACAGGAACAATTTCCTCTGTAAATAAGAGGCTCTGTGTTTTTAATGGATTCCTTTCTGCTATTTAGGGCTGCATTGTGGAGCCTAGGGGTCCCAGGGACTTTGGATGGGATCCCTGTTTCCAGCCTGATGGATATGATAAAACGTGAGGGAACTCATTTTCTTTTACTTCACCGCTTTACCACTAGATGGCAGCCTTAGCCAAGAGTGACTCATGAAATGAAAATCATTCATCCGGTTTCCAAACAAAAGACTGCAAAACGCTACTCATTTAGATGACAGTTTAAATTTTTTGACTAAGACCTACAGAAAGGTTCAAGGTCCTAATAGGTTTTGCACAAAGCTAATAATACTGGGATCTGTTTGGATGACTGAAACCTCATTCCAACCTCTTTCCAATATTATTCAGACTCAGCTCGACTTTGCAGTGCCTCATTCTTGTCAGTCATGGTCAGTGATGACCAAACAATTTTTTCCAGTTTTGTGTGAAGGGATTTTTTTTAAAAGTGTGAATTATCTCTGTAGATTTTTTAGTTAATGCATCTGTTGTTTTCTGGTACATTTTGGGAGCATCTTAAAAAGTTTTTACTATGATGTTTTGATGAAAATGTTGCTGTAAGTGTGTCACAATGTAGGCCAATGATTCAGGGCTGTTTATTGAATTGTGTATGATCGAGTTGTATTCTGTTGCTACTGAGTTTCCCTCACTCCTCTTCTACTGCTTGATCTGTGCAGATATGCAGAGCTCCCAAAAGAAGTGAAGAACAAAATCTCCCACCGTTACCGAGCTCTGGCAGCCATGTCGGAACACTTCTCTCACCTCAACGATGCACCAGAGACAAAACGGCCCAAACAGAGTGACTAATCACCTGCCAGTGCCAAGGACGACCATTTAGATCTCAGTCTGTCCAGTCAGCATCCAGGCATTTGGCCAGCTGGACATACCACAATAATTATGTTATTTGTAAACAGTTTCAACCATCCACTAACTTTTGTAATAAAACATTTTGTGTAATATATTAGCGTTGTCTAGTTATTGTTCTGGATGCTTGAGAGCAAGTACTGCAAATGGGTTTTCTGAAGTGTACTGACATCAAACGAATTACTTACAGGGACAGTGTATATTGTTCAAATATACACTCAATAGTTCAGCAAAAACTCCTGATTCCTTAGTTGTACAGTAGAATTGCAAGGCTGTGTAGCTAACATAAACCTTATCAATAAGCATTGTGTAAACCACATACCTAAATCATCACATACTCACCTCAAACTGCAACAAATTGCTAAGTAATTTCGAACAAACTTGATTATATGGTTTCTGTGGTTTGCCTGGACTTTTGCAAGTTATTGATTGGGGTCTTGGTTAATGAGTGTTTAAACGTCAAACTAAAAATATTGTCCAAAGTTGAAGTGCGTAGCTTATTTAGATGAAGTGTTACTGATGTTGACTCAGGGTCCTCTTTGTCCTCTTCTTCTGACAGATTGTAGCGATATTCTTTTTTCAGTATGTGGTGGAAACAATCACAGCGCGATGTCTTCACATTGTTAATGTTCTTCCCCTTCACACAAAACATTTAGCATCCCTCAAATGACACAGCTTGTGTGTGAAAACATCAAGATGGCGCTAACAGTTTATTTGTTAGCAAATACCCGAACAAGATGAAACGTCCAATCACGTCTTCACAGAGCACAATCAATCAGTTCCAAATGGTGCTGCAAAGCACGAGGAATTAGGAAAAAGTGAACTGAAAAAAGCTAGTTTGCCAAAATACCATCTGTACATTGGGGGAAAATAAACATATGCCTCTGTAAAATACCCAATTGGAATTTTTAAGCAATAAACCTTTTAACAATGATACCAGAAACCTTCACTCCAGTTTTAAGAATAGCCGTGGCTAGCACAACCTATTTTGTTCAATATTATGCTCTGAAAAGATGCAGTACACCACTGAAATACTTATTCAATACTGCTTTGTGAAAATGATTTTACTACAGATTTAATATGGGATGTAAACCTACAAACTATTTTAAACTACTTAGAAATACGGTTATAATTTCTAAAATAAAAGTACCATTTTCGCTTGTTTGCTAATTTAACTTTCAGTTTTGCAATCTTATAGGCTAGGTGAATTTTTAATCCTGCAGTCTGATTGGTTAAAGTTTACATTCTGCAGTCTCACTGGCTAGTTTATTTTTCTTACTATAAGTAACTAGTTCAACGTTCCTTCCTTAAGGTACTTAAGGCTTTCAAAAATGCCACTGAGTGTCAGAAACCGCATGATCAAGTCTGAAATTTCCAGTGCACAATTATAGATGCAAACTTCAGACGCCAAACATGTCTTAGCTGATAGACTGTATTTGGGGTTAATGGGGGAAATGGTGTTAATTCCTTACTCCTCAAGTTTGGCCCAGGCCAGGGGTGTCCAGTCATGTCTGCAAATAACCATTTTGGCTTCCGGGTTTAATTCCGAACAAGCTGGAGCACACCTATATCCTACTTGAAATTAGTCGGTCTCAGTCTTTAAACAATTAATCACTTTTCCTCCTGCTTCAGTGGGCTTAAAAAAAAATCTGCAGCCACCCCAGCCTGTTGCAGATAAGATTGGACACCCCTAGTTTAGGCTATTCACCTTACTGAGAAATCATGCTTTATAAAATACCCCCTTAGTCAGCTCAGCAAGTGGCTGATGACAGAGCAAAGCTGTGGATGGATGCTGGTGGGCCTCAGCCCTATAAATCTACGCCCTGCTACTGTGACAGCTGCTGTTTGTTCACAGGACCCCAGCTCTGTTAGAATGAAGCTGGCTATTACCATCACATCATCCACTGCTTGTGTTCCTCATTACCAATGGCATTCGGTGAATGTTTTCACTTCTGTTTCTCACATTCGCACTCTTTCTTTCCCCCTCTCTTCCCTCCCTGCGTTTCCCATGTGACAACGAGGCTTACTGGGGTAACAAAGATAAATGGGCTCAGCTAATCCACAAAGCAGTAGGCCTGTTTCACTCTCATCTGAGGGGAGATATCAAAAACAGTCTTGTGTAAAGAAGGTGCCTGATGTGTTTGGTCACTGGGATTTGCTGTGGCGAGGAGTCAAGATGCTCCTTGGAACTTGCACATGTTCTTAACCGGCACGTTTTAACAGATTCCCACTTTTCCATTAAATAAGCATGTTCAAGTATCTGCATGTGAATCTATGCTCTGATACTATTGACTGTGACCCATTCACAACCTTAGAGCCAAGGGCAGATCACTATGTATGCTCTTGAATATGAGTACATTGCACTGTGCAAGCAGTTTCTCCAAAGATATCATTCTGCTGTATTTGCTCCAGTGGATCAACAGATCAACTTGAATTCCAATATTGCTGGTAAAACCACACTTAAAGTTGGTGCAGGCAAATGAGGTCAGGCCAAAAACCAACCGAAACTTACAGGCCTGAATGAATACAAAGTGGAAATAGCAGGTAATTGCTACAAGGATTAAGAAACCCTGGCCTTTATGACAAGACTTCCAGTTAGAGTCATGAGGCATTACTCTAGAGAGCCCAGCCTGCCAAAGGCTGTTTCTAAGCCCAGCTTTTGGTGCAACTTTTAATGTTTCCAACATTTCTCAATATTGTAAGCCTGATGTTAAAGTGATTCTTCAGTTTACTCTTTCTAACTACTGACTAACGGACCAGATATGAACACACTGCCATTACCCAGCCGCAAAACTTTATTGAGCATTAATTTAACTTTTTGGAAGTTACTCGCCACCTCAATGATGCACCTCAGCAGCAAGTGAGCCGGAGATGGATTGAAATTATATGTCTGCGTGCACTAAGGTCTTGTTTCAGCCTAGAGAAACATGGGTTGTATGCTATTGAACTCCCTGGCCTCCTTAAGGTCTGTGGGCATGGGATGAAAAACATAGTGTTTGGTGAGAGTTTTGTGGCAGAAAAGAATTTGAAAATAACTACCCCAGGTCTGCATTCCTGCTTTCATTATTGGACTGAGACACAAACAACAACAGACATTAGACAATGGTGCAGGGGCAAAGGCCCAGGGAAAGCATTCCCAGCGTTTAAGAGCTCCTGTGGACTGTCCCTTTCAGATCCACATCAAAACGTCTGTCGTCTCTTTGTCCCGTTTCCTGCTGGGATTATGAGTAAGAGCTCTTCCACTTCCCGAGAAAACGGCACCTTGATATCCCTCAATTAAGCACAACAACATTCCTCTGCACTTAATTCTGTGGAAATGGGGCGGCTCACCAGCACGTAAACGTGTTGTTGTTGGACGTCCGTCTGGCCTGAAACAAAAAGGCTGATGATGTGAAAAACATCCTGTCAATAGACATAAACAGTGATTCCAGACATCCCTAAAACATATACCTGTATGCGCAGCATGATGTTGCAGTTATCAAAGTGACACTTATACCTGCCAATTTTCAGTTTTTTCAAGCTTGACAGAAGGGCTGAAGTACATTGCCAAAAGGTTTGACATGCTTCAAGTCTTAATCTACTGGTATATATACATAATAATAATAATAATAATAATATCATCATCATCATCATCATAATGATTTACTTACAACACATTCCATTTAGTTCCAAAATCTCAAAGGGCTTTGCAGAGGACTATAAGTAAAACACTGGAAACATAAATGATGTTTTTATTTATGATTATCAATAAAAATCACATTCTAACTGCAGCTACATGTATGCTAAAGCTTGTGGGTCAAAACACTGCAGACTTCAGCACACCGTCTCATTAAACACACCTGATCCAGCTCATCAGCTAATCAGCTACAAGGCCTTCATGAACTGAATCCAAAGTGTTGGATGAGGGTAAACACTAATCTCCATAGCACTTTGGCTTTTTCCTGCTTAACACAGTGAAACTTTAATGCCCCTTTAGTTGCTTGAAACCTACATGAAACTAAATTGTGCATGAGTTGCATGCGTAAGTCATCCTGCAACTCATGTGAAACTCAGCTGCAACAGTTGCCAACAAGTTTCATGAAACTGCACATCAAAACGGAGACAACACATTGTGTGAACCAGCTGGTTCATACTTTATTTTGATGGTCTGCTAAAACGCATCTATAAATTCTCATTTTGTCAACAAACTATCTGGTTTATTGTTATCTGGATAATCAAATTTACTCAATTATTAACAGGCTTAAGCTTAGGTTTGGATTTTAGGTTGTGGTTCAGATTAGGGTTAAAGCAAGTGTTGGGTTTAAGCTGAGTTTAACTGGTTTAGCGTAAGTTATGGCAAAGTTTGCAGCTGCAAAGCATTATCAGTGGATCATCAAAACCAAGTCCTTCCTAATAAGATCATTTTGTTTAACATAGTACATCAGCCGGGAAAATACCCAAAACACAATGCCTGTCATTCTTTTTCATTCAATAGCATCGCCTATGAGATAAACTACCTAAGGCCTGCCAGACCTGCTGGCCAGCTGTCTAGGCTACACTCATATAACCTTACGAGCACACACACTACCACCATGTGCACTGCACTGCCACAGATAATAAAGCCTTGCATTTAAGAGCACCATTAAAAATCCAGAAACTCATCAAAGGCAGGTACTGTAAGTGATTTCACAGGTGAAATAGGCGTCCATAATCACCTAGGCCTGTCTGTGTGCAGTAGGGCACTCTCACTCAGCAAGACGTCCAATATAGGCCTGGAATCCAGTTAAAAAGGTCGTAATCCTCTAACACAAACACATCAGAATGGTCTGTAGGAACACCTGGCTCTAAGGTGCTGCAGGAGATGTTTCATGTCATGTCATCTCCAGAGCTCAGACGAAATCTGTTAATTGCTATGGTGAAAGCCAGAGAGACTCATGATGGGTTTTTGCTATGACTTTGTTCAATAGAATAGTAGGATTAATCTTGACTTGATGTCTCACTAGAATTTGTGTGCACATTTGTTTTTATTCCTGTTATTCAGCCATTTACTATATCTGTGATCCATTATTTGCTATAATGGACATTTACTTTAAAGGAGTTCTTTTCCTGTTTGACTAA